TCCATGTTCAAACTGAGAAACAAGAGAAATCTGTCATTTTATTCAGGTAACGCTGCGTTTCACCGGTCGTCATCTCCCCTTTGTGCCTGCGTCAGCATTGAAGCTGTCATACATTGACTTTTTATCAGTTTGAAGCCACATTTTTACCATCCACTGTTGAGATCTTGGTGCTTTGAACCGGATGAAAGGTTTTAGTCATCAACGTCTGGATCTCAATTTATCAGAGAAACAAGCTGAGCTAACGTTAGCAGCAGCTCGGCTTGCAGCCCCTCCGGGACGTCCTTTGTCTGCCCAACAGCGTGGGAGAAACAGTGATGATTTTAAAGGTGGAACTTTATTCAGTGTTTTTACCTTATTTAATCTGCAGGTCCATTTGTTTTGGAGAGGAGGAGACCTCTGTGGATAATTGGGCTCCCAGTAGAAACCTCCTGAACCATGAACACTGAAGGAATCCTAACTGGGAGAAGCCGACTGCAATGAAGGCAAAGTATTCTAAATTTACTGTGGGAGGACAGAGGAGACAAAATATTTATTTTTCAGAATAATTTGAACTGTTTGACATTGAGTGGTCTATTCATCTGTGACATCATCATTTATTCCTTAAATGCATTTTCATTACTGTTTATTTATTAACATGGACTGAGAGGCATTCCTAACATGATCTACAGTCACTGAGATCTGTATTCCACAAAGCTGACATTTATTTTTCCTTTCAAACAATTTCTTTTTTAAAAAGACAAAATAGCATTTTCTGTATTTGATGATTACAACTGAACCCCTAACCCTAAGCCACTCAATTAACAGAATGCAATCCAGTTTTATTAATGTGTATGATCAAAAATCTATCAGAAATACACGGCAGTTAATTTTGATTCCAGTGTGGTTTGATGCTTGCAATGAAACAAATGAAAGCAATAAAACAACATGGAGCACTGATGCTCTGGATTTCTTGCCAACATTGGTTAAAGGTATGATGGAGTACATGCTGAACATCAAATCGTCTGCCTTTTATTTGGAATTTCTCCAGCTCTCATCATCCCTCTGTCATTTCAGTGTACATAACACATTAAATTTACATTTAACATGTCTCCAGCCTGAGAATGCAGTGCATCAAATATGCTCTCCATGTGAAAGATGGATAGTGTCAGCTCTAGGCCCGGTCCTGGTGCAGCAACAGATCTATGGAGTTTAAAATACACAAGGCAAAGAAGAAGTACTTGATTGAATGAGCAGTGACATCTCATCAAAGTTGACCTCTAAAGGAGTCTGTTTTCTCTGACAGACAAAGGTCTGCTGCACATTAAAGTAAGTAAAGGACTTAACATAGACATGTAGGAAACAATGTCAACATGTTCACAATGACAACAAGTTGATGTTTGAGAATGCATGTAATGTAGATGCATGTAAGATGCATCAGAGTGTGGATTTTCTGCATCAATGCAGTGACAGAACATAATCGAGAGCTAGCTTACACAAAATTACAGCCTACTAATCTTGATTGTTGATTTTCTGGCCTCGGCTGGACAATTAAGTAGTAAAATTACATTGTTTTGAAAGCAAACCCTGGGATATTTTGGATTTTATGAACTTACTGGGAAGCACAAACTGGACATGCACACTGTGTGTAAAATCTCTGTCACAAAAATGGAATACTTTGGTACTACCACACATTTGAGGAACCAGTAAACCCTCTATAAAACTGTTTCATCACTGCATTTTTTTTTCATACTTGCCAGGGTGAATGTATGTGTGGCAATGAAATTGTTGGAAAGACAGTGGAAAGACTGACCAAGGTTTTGGTGAGCTTTAGTTTGTTTCTGTCCAGTTTGAATGAATGTGAAAGGTACAATCCCTGTTTTTATCATTAGAGTCTGATGGTTTTGATCACAGTGATAATTGCTGTTTCTGATTAAACAAAAGAGATCCTGCACATAAAGGTTTATCTCTGTAGGGATCCCTTCAATAATGTTGTCAGGCACTTATAATAACAATCTGAGCCTGTCAGTGGCACTTTTAGTGCAACCACTGGACCAATTTAAAAAATAATCCATGTCCAAAATACTGACATCACCCTAATATAGATAGATATTTATATAGTATATAAACTTAATATAGACTCCACTAAAATAATCCAGGGCCATAGCTACCATTGAGTACACCAAAGTTGTATGGATTTTTGTTTGTGGGTTTTTGTAACATCAGCAGTACTTTTTAAATGTGACTACTGAAATAAAGGTTTCAGCATTACTGGAGAAACGTGGAGAAAGTATTGACACAGCAAGTTGACCTTCATGTTGGGAACTAAAAGTTAAATTAAGTACAATAGAAGTATTTCACCTAATTAACAAAACCTAAAAAAAAAAAAAAAATAATACAACTTTTGACGACAACTTTGACTTGAGGATTCAGCTGTAGTGGAGGCAACATTTCTGCATGTCTGTTATGTTCCTCTTCATCCCCTGTGACACACCAGCACCAGGTTTCACAAGAAGCCAGGAACCAGGTTTACAACTTGCAATGGAATACACTTGCCCCAACACAGGTGACTGTAGATAATAGATAACAGAATACTGCAGATGTGTTTTAATACATTTTCTGTAGGATTGTTAGGGGTGTAGAAAAATATTGTATATGATATTTTGTTTTGTTGCATTGATTGTGATCAATAGAAATGCAGATCCCACTGTTCTGACTGCACAATAAACACATTTATTTACTCATATTTTATGCATATGTTCTTTGACTGTTTTTCTAGAATTTGAATCACAATATATCACCTTAGTTACAGTTAGGGCTATTTATTGGCAAAATCTGGCAATACGATATGTATCATGATACAGGTTATGAGTCAATATATTGTGATATGTTTCAATACTGTAAGCTAGGCGGTGTATTGCGATTTAATGAATAAAATTAAATTATAAGAAAAATGTCATAGTACAAGGAACACCACTATATGAACTGGAAATAGTGAAGAAATAGTGTGTGAAGGTCACACTGTTGACTAACAGCCTTGGCCAGTTGAAGGTTGGGTCTCAGTAAGCTGAGCTGAGGTTTTAGACTAATGGAACAGCACTTAAGATTCTCCTGAATGAGTGTGCCAAAGGGAAGTGAATGAGGACGTATCAAAATGTCTAATGAAATGGAGCTTTAGTCGTCTGTGCTCTCCGCTCTCCTTTCCAATGATGAAGACACCCTTTGACCTTCCACGGGGGGGGTGGGGTGAAAGTGTATTTATTGAAGGTATATTTGTTCTGAAAAGGAACATTGTCTATCTCTGTCCTTCACTGTTTCTCCTTGCACCAGTCTTTTTTTGTTTTTTGTTTTTTTTGCAAAATCATTCTGTGTTCATAGCAATATCGTCACTGACCTTTGTACTACTTACTGTTGGTTGCTTGTAATTTTTTTAATTAAAAATGGGAGCTTTTTGTACTGCTCCGCACATTGCAAGTCACTCAAGATGAACGTGTTGGCTAAATGCCAAAATTGTGAATGCAAATGAGACAGGTACAAGCACCAAAATATAAACAGCATTTGATTACTGCTAAAAGCAGGTGGTGCCTTTGTCCGTGTGTGTGTGTGTGTGTGTGTGTGTGTGTGTGTGTGTGTGTTTTAGGGGGTTGGGGTGTCAAAGGTGGCTCTGCATTTATCAACATCTGTTTAAGTGAATATAATATTTAGGCTTTTGAATCACATCCTAAATATTTGTATCTTTTTGCATCACAGGATTCATGTATTTGTATGTCACCATGCTCATTTAACTAGCAGTACCATTCCTATTCTCCATCTTTTAGGCATAACTATAATAAATATGCATGAGAGTGTACCAGACTGTGTGTGTGTGTGCGTGTGTGTGTGTGTGTGTGTGTGTGTGTGTGTGTGCGCGGGCTGTGCAGGACTCAGTTGGACATCAAATAATAGGCCATCATCAATCTCTGTCACAATCTCCAGGGACTAGTGAGGGGTGTGTGTGTGTGTGTGTGTGTGTGTGTGTGTGTGTGTGTGTGTGTGTGTGCATCAGAAGGAGGGGGATCAGGGGCTAGTTCAAGTGTGTACATTTGTGTGGGTGTGTGTGTGTGGGTGTGTCTACTCAAGTGATGGAGTAAATGTGGTACAAGACAAAGGAAGCGTTACAGGCTTTAGAACAATGTATGAAGGATATATTTGTGTGCGTAAGGTGCCGTGATTGTGTAAGGCATCTGTCTTTGTGTGTGTGTGTGTGTGTGTGTGTGTGTGTGTGTGTGTGTGTGTGTGTGTGTGTGTGTGTGTGTGTGAGTGCGAGAGTGTGTGAAAGACTGACATATGGACGATGCACAAGGGTCCAGCCACAGCATGTCATTGAGGATATGTTATCGGTGAAGAGTGGCAGCAGTAAGAATGTTATTTCTGTTTGCTGATGTTATTATTATGATATGTTCCCTCAGTCAGAGCCACAGTGACACGTTCTTTCTGTCTGACAAAATCACATGTGTGTCACACCTTCCTCTCTGTCTTCCTCTGGCACAAAGGAGTTTTACCCTCACAAAAATGTACTTTTCCTGCCAAGGAGTCTATTTAAATCTAAGCTGTATGAGAGAGGTATATAGAAACCCTACATATCCAATATGTTAACCATTTACACTGAGAGAGTGTTCTACTACTACATGTTCAAGTTGAAAAGCATTAAATCTCTGACTGGAATAGTTAAAAGTATGAAAGTATATGCAATGATTTGTTTGATGTTGATGTTTTAGGAGTTGATGAGGTGGTTATTAAAAGATTACACTAAAACTTGTTATTCATAATTTAGTACTGATAATTACTAAGTACTAATATGAGTGTAACCTGATGAATGTATATTTTGTCATTATAGTGAATAGCAACAGTGTTTGTTTACAGCAGTGGTAGAGTTGTTCCAGTGGGGCGGGGTGTGGCAAGACTCTCCGCCAATCAGCATCGCCCTTACGCCGAGCAAACGCTGGAGAGGCGGGACTTGCGGGTCTATTAACCAACCAGCGTCTACCTTCCTCAGCGCTGCAAGAAGTTAGCACTCGCCTGCCAGTCTGGTCCGTAGCCACGATGGATGCAATACCATGCCTTCTGCTCGTCCTCCTGTTCTGGACAAGGATACAAGTAAATACCGGTAAGTGCCCTTAAATTGACAACATGGAGTTGTGTTCAGTGTTTCTCGCGTGTTTCTCGAAAGTTACACTCTCGTGTCCTGCCAGTTTCGCCAGAAAAGCTCTTTGTTCAAGAAGCCTGAAGAAGCAGAGTGTGTCTAACTAAGATGGCGCAGGGTCGGTGGCCAGCCTTCTGCTGCCTGTCTGAGGAATGTTTATTGTCTGGGAAAAAAAGGAGCAGGGAGCTAAAAGTCACATTGGGCTTACAGCCCACGGCTATAGCTCAGGATCAAAGCTGGCCTCTCTTCAGCTAGGGGTTTTGGCCGCAGCTTTTGGATTCTGCTTTGCCAACAAAGAGCAGAGGAGTCCGTCCGGAGGAACAGTCCTCAGTTTCGCAAATACAAAGTTGGCAGCATCACTGAGTGGATGTTTGCTTTTTGTCAAGCATTGGTTGTTCATTTACCTTGTGGTTGGAGCATGTCCCCTCGCCTGTTTTTGGAGGCACATAGCGTTAGTTGAACTGGATAAGTTTATGTTGCCTGAGTGCAGAATGTCTCTGAATGTTCCAGGTGACCGTTACTTCTGGGTGCAACACTGGTTCACCTCATGTTAGTTACTCCTTTCTCCTCACAGATGCTGTGACAATGGCGTCCTCAGAAATGTTTTGAGTGGCTGTTCAGCCTCTTTAAGTAACGCGAGCGACTCAAATTCATGACTTTTCGCTCTCTTCTCGAGATAATATTTGTTGAGTCCGGTGAAGGGTCTTCCCGTCCCGTCTGCTCTCTTGTCTGACGTTAGATAAGCTGCTGTAAGTGTTAACTGGTGGTTTAACTTGCCATTTCACGCTAATAGCTGTCTGACAGATACATATCCACGGCAAGCTAGCTTGCTAGCTTTTAGCCGCTGACCGCAGCGGTGTTGATCTAACGTTATAACAGAGTTAAGACATTTTCCCGTTTTTAGCGCATTGAAAAATGCCATTTTTGCTCTTGGTAAGTTGTGCCATTGGGCTAATTAGTTAAGACATTCGGCATAGAAGGGTTGTGTGCCGTAGACTTCAACAGCTCGCCGTCAAAAGATAAGAAACAATTTCCTCAGTACATCTTAGTTTAACTGTATACAGCGCACCCGGTTATACCAAACTCCATTCAAAATATACCAGATTAAAGCTGCTCTCAGCTATTTAAGTCTTTAACGATTAGTTTCTAGCGCACTTGGCTTACACATTTGCAAACGGCACACAATTTCAGTCAAACGCGACTTTAAAATAGCTTTGCAGCGATACTTTTGGTTGACAGTGGAGGAAGACTGCAGTTGAAATGTTCCAGTAAGACCTAGCTGGCGTCTTTTAATAATGCTGAATAGACGGGAGTGTCCTTAAGACGCTGGGAAGAGTCATGTGCAAATGCTTAATGGGGTGTTTATGGTCGCCGATAAGCAGTATTGAATTGCCTCGCAAGATTTGTGAATTGGATTCGGCATTTATAGCTCCTCATTAGAGACAGAGACTGGCACTGACCCACCAGTCACCGCCGCTGCCTGCCATTCATGCCTGCTAGCCTTACTGAGATTTCTTACTTTCATTTAGCATCGAACCGTGCTTATCTTTTTGTTCCAGTGGTCAGCATACTGCAAAAGGAGAATGATTTTCTCATAGGTACAAACAGCCCACAGTGTTGTTTTTTTCCTGTTGACTCGCAGACTCACGCGTTTCCTTTGTGTGACATTCCTTTGTGAGAGAGAGAGAGAGAGAGAGAGAGAGAGAGAGAGAGAGGCTCTTCATGAGTGGAGGGGCATGCTTTTCAAACGGCATACATAAAGATCTCACCAGAACATGCCAAAAGCTCCACCATGTCCTCATATACCCCATCGCCACCTCAGATGCAGGCTGGTTATCAAATTGATATGTCGGCTTGGGGACACACAAGGAGAGAGGGAATTCCGCTTTCTTTGTCCAGCAATGGGATTGTCATGGCGTGGGTCCATGGCCGGAGCTGCATCATTTGCATCAGAAAGGAATCCAACATTTTAGATTCAGATAATCTAAGGCACAGACTAGAGAGAAGAATCTGTGCGCCAGCACACATTTTAGCAGTCATGTGATTCCCATGAATATTAAGATTATATTTTACATACAGTCACAGAAGGATAGATGTGATTTAACCAGACTACCTTCACTGACACCTTGTACATCTCACGTTGCTGTTCAGGACCACACCCCTGCAGCTCACACACACTTGCTTTAGCAGCGTTCGCATACAGCTACACACACACAGAAGCGTCCGCACACATTGGAGTGCTGGCAGCGGGCTAAATTAGGTGGTGTCACTACTACTCTCCTCATCCTAGCAGCCACAGTCATCCTCCTGCCTAATAGGCTGCATCCTCATGCTCTGTCACTCGGTTCTCACCCCCCCCCCCGGCCAGCCCTCCCACCCTTCAGTTTCATTTGTCGTCTCTGAGTCTTGTGCTTCTCCCGCTGCCCCCTTCCAGGCGTAGTAAGTAAACGGGCCACATTATGCTGGAGTGGCTGGCGTAAAGGACGAGTGTTGTGTCAGCACTCTCAGTCAAATGCAAGCTGACTGTCGAGGGAGACTCTTAATCAGTCCTGACTGTTCCTAACAGCAGAGGATGTGGGGGATCGGTTTAGGATGTTATCTCAGCTTTTGTTGCTCCAGTGTTGCTACTGGTCATGAAATTCCTGGAATAGCTATGAATTTAGAGAGCTCCCACTTAAACACTGTACTTAACTATACTCTGAAGGGAAGTTACAATGTTTTAGCACTTTGAATGCAAGAAATATAAGATGTGAACGTGTAACATAAAGGAAATACAGTGTATTTTGAGAGATTTATTGACCTTTTTGCTTGGTTTGAGAGCTGTCACAGGAGCTGTCTCACATCTCACAACTCTTTTTCAGCACTGAGCAGCTCATTGAAGAGCAACAGTATCTGACTTGTGTGTTGGTCGGAGTAAGGCTGGACGTTATGGTGGAAAAATGTATCTTGATAAAATGTTTTATTTAAGATAGGTAAAATGACAACTTGTGTCAGAGTCTGGTTGGCAGTAGTGCCCGATAGTTTTGGTCTGTGATTCTTTTCTCTATAGCGACATCTAGTAGTTGCTCCTAAAGAAAGCAGGATAATGCTGCAGGTAAAACATATCATTTAAGTTTCTGATCATTCTGTCATATTCTGTCATGGTTGGAGGAGCATCGTGAAATATATATCGGTTAACTAGAGACTGATGACCAACAGGCTGAAAGAAAGGCCATGCATACATTTGACAATATTAGGGCTGTAACTAACAATTCTTTTCATTATCGATTAACCACTTTCTAAATATATTGATTAATTGCTCGGTCCATAAAATGTTGATCAGTGTTTCCCAAAGCCCAAGGTGATGTCCTCAGATGTCTTGTTTCATCCACAACCCAAAGATATCCAGTTTACTGTCACTGATGGCTAAAGAAACCAGAAAATATTCACATCTGAAAAGATGAAGTCAGAGAAATCTCAACACGATTAATCCATTGTCAGTATAGCAGCACTAGACAGCAGTGATGCGCGGGCCGACCCCGCGGGTAACCTGCGGGTAACCCGCGAGACCCGCGGTCACGGTCAAGAAATGTTAACTTTATTGGCGGGGCGGGTCATTAAGGATTAAATATGTCCAATACAGCCTACTTCTTAACAACACTGTTGGGTAAATCCACCTGCGACCTGACGTCACAAAAGCGCCTATATATATATTCATTTTTATTAAGATTTGAATTTGTTGTTGCCAGTTTCCAGTGCCACTTGAAAGGCTGTTTTCAAGCGCATTTGTGAGACCGAATAAAAGCCTTATTTAATGACATATTTAACGTGTATTTAATAGCGGCGGGGCGGGGTGGGGCAGGTTGTGAAAATAGATGCGATTGTGCGGGGCAGGATGGAGCGGGTCAAATTATTAAATAAATGCATGCATCACTACTAGACAGTATAGTGCTTAATATGTCTTGTCACACTTTGTTTGGTGTTACTGGTGTGATCAGATGTGTTTGTTTTCACTGAATTCATTGAATGCCTCGGTGACGTTCAGGGACGACATCCAGTGAAATTGCCAAAAGTATTTTTCAAATTGAACTATTCATATATTGGACTAAAAGTGCTCAATAGTCCAAGTGTAGCTGAAGCCAGAGTCTTCAGAAAAACAAATCAGGAAGCAATATTTTTCATTAAGGCAACAGTCATGGGATTTTATATCAAGGCCACTGTGGGAGCTCTGCTTCCTCTTTCCTTTAGGGTTTAGATATGTTGTGGTGGTTTTACAGTCTTGATACTGAGTGTAAAAATTCCACAGAGACTGCAAAGAGTCGATATTTTGCGCTTACTTTCATCTGTCTCAATATCCCCCTCCCCAGCTGCTGGGGGCCCTTTTTGTGTGGGTTTCCATGAAATGCTTGCTTGTGTTGTTTTTCTGGGTGCTGTGTGCTGCCGCTGTCAGTACTAGCAGCAGAGAAATGCCAGGCATGCGGGTGACCCTGGACGCCCGTTGTCCTGGCCCAAGGAACCACGACTAATTTGAGAGGTTGCAGCCATGCCAGTGACCATCGGATTCAAAGGCACCAACGCATTAATGAATGCCCCCCCCTCACTCTGCTCTCCTCCATGGGGAGGCCAGAAAGGAACAAGCTCTACTGTTTGTAGAGTTTGAGAGGCCAAAGTTATGCTTGTTCATGTCAGATGGGAATCAGATGGACTGCTAAAGTTTGGGTTTATAAGTCATTTATATGCAGCGACTAGGGATGGGGCCGATCCGATCCCGTATCGGTATCGGGACCGATACCAGCGTAATTCACGTATCGGAATTTCCCGATCCAACCTGCGCAGATTTCCGATATCCATGAGCCATTAGGGGTGGGCGATATGGGCAAAAAATAATATCTCAATATTTTTGGGGATTTTGGCGATAACGATAATCAGTCGATATCCTTTAAAATGTGATTAGAATTGTCTGAGCTGGACTTGTGTCCAGCAAA